TTTTTCATTAACATTTCTACATTAAAAACTATTTGAAATTTAGAAAAAAAAACAATGTCTGTCAAATGAGCTGTGAAAACAAACAAGAAAATTCTTAGAGATTTTATATATATATATATATATATATATATATATATATATATATATATATGTGTATATATATATATATATATATATATATATTTATAGATGTCTTTCAGGTTGATGATTGAGTCAAGATCAAATTCCTCTTTAAGTAAATAGTTTTTTTTCCGTTGCTGTTTCTTCATCACCTTTCCATTCCTAAATCCTGTTATTTCCATAATCTATTGATGGGATTATTTCAGCCAGATTATTCTTTGGGCTCAGAGGCCGATCAGGCAGGTGGAGCGGCTGAGATCCACCTGAAAAAGATCAATCTGATTTATTTATATTTAACTATTCTTTGCTCATTTTAAAACTCTTCATCATTTTAAATTAGCATTTTTATTTTATTAACAGCAAGAGAAAAATAAGGTGGAAAAATAAACATTTTTAGTGATTCATAGAAATGTTTATAGAAGCTTTGGAAATGTCAGAAAGTGGGTTAAGGTTCAGGAACATTATAATAAGTCATTAAAATCAACAATCAAAGACACTTCAAGGTACCTGGTACCGATGCAAAGGTCATGTAAAAACCACATTTCCCTACAGCTCACCTGCTCCAGGATTTGCCTAAATGAAGGAATGACCTAAACCCTGTCAGCTACAGCGCCGCGGCCTGCAGCAGCTCCCACGTCTTACACACCTGTCCTGCTCTCGGCCAATCAAAAGAGTCACTGGGTTTTATCTGCCGAGTTCGGGTCGCCGCCGGAACCGGCTGGATCCGGATCCACTCTGACCTCTGCTCCCCGATGCTCCTTCAGATGCTCCGCTGGTTTTCCTGTGGAGCTGTCGGTGTTCGGGCCTTTTTATTGGGGATGTTAGGAAGGCAGCAGCTTTAACCTGCTCTATAAACCTTCAGAGGTTAAAGGTCAGACATGAGGATGGATGCTCTGCATGCCTGACAGCTGAAGAAACTCTGCAAACATTCCTCATTTCTTTCTGCAGCCTCAGCTGAGCTGCAGTTTCTGAGAGCAGACACTGATTTAGCTGCTGATCTTCATCATTTCTCTCACAGACAGAGAAAGATGGTTTCCTTATAATCCTGTGAAGAGTTGAATGTTTTTAAGGCGGTTAGAGACGTTCACAGAAGGACCGTTTGCGTCTCCCCAGCCCCCAGCCTGCGCTGCAGATCGGATCCTGAACCCCGGAGCGTCCATCATTGTGTCACCTGCTGCGCCTCCTCAGACCTGCCTACCCTCTCCGCTCTGACGGCTTTTTTCTTGAACTGAAATCTGCTCTCAGGCAGAACGATTCAAATAAGACACAGTGTTTGGAAGGCTTCAGAGCTTGTCCTTTCGCACGTCGCCTCCTCAGTGGAGGCAGCCTGCTTGTATTGGATGCAAATTGGGTATTAAAAGAGGGGATAGAAACATGAGATAGCGTGACATGGGGAGCCTGAGGAGCCAGAAAGGGCGCAAAGGATAGAGAGAGAGGCTTAATGCCAGGAGAGAATGCAAATGCTGTTGAAACAGGGAGGGATTGCTGGAGGAGAGCTGGATGGACGGATGGATTAGCTGAGAAAGAAAGGCCAGGATCAGGTGTTGGAGCCACTCTTTTTGGCAGGGTCAGCGCTGTTCCTTCTACGACTGGCGGAGCTGGATTTGCATTGATGGATCTTCTTTCCATGGAGATTTCATGAATCAGGGCCTGGAAGCATCACGCCCTGCTCATTAATCAAATCCCAGCCTCTGCCTGGAGCTGTCAGTCCCAGAGGTGGGCCTCGTCTGCAGCAGGTGGAATTTTCCCCACAGGTGGCTTTCAGCGGGACAGGAAGCGACCACCAGCAGAAATCATTCCCACCTTCATTCAGCCGTTTAGAAATCCTAATCTTCCTGTTTCTTCTGTTGTTTGTGACTAAATGAAAGCAGGCTGAGGCCTGAATAATCCCCCCCCCTCCCACTGCTGGCACACCCTCTGAAGGGAAAACCTTCCTCATCTGCCTTTATTCAGCCTTTACACCATCAACACCGCCCGTCTGAGGGGGTGGTGTCGGATCATCAGCTGAGATGATTTCAAATAAGCTGTTAGAAGATTCCTGGTTTCACCATCAGTGTGAAGGAAGGAGTCTTACTGGGAGGAATGGTCACCAGTTAACCCTGCGCTGACTGAATCAGCAGCTACCTCTCAGCTATACTGGGAGAACTGGAGCTTCTCCAGCCAGTTTGGTTTGGGGGGGGTGCTCTCTTCCATTCAGCAGTTTAATTTGGTCAAATAGGGAAAAGTTGACTGAAACATCTAGTGAGTTTTTTTCCACTGTGGACTGACAGTCTGATGTAGCTGTTAGCATAGCTAGCTCTAGGCGGCTCTGGCTGATTATCAGTAACTTCACTGCCGATCAGAGCAGGTGGCAGGGATCAGGTAGTTTAATCAGGCAGCATCCAGTCCCTGCCTTACAGTGAAACGCCTCCTGGATGAACCCCTGGATGAACACCTGGATGAACACCTGGATGAACACCTGGATGTGTTCATCTTCAGGTTTTCAGATGACCCGTCTTAAAATGCTGGATTCTTTTCTGGATTATAATTCACCGTGTCAAAGGTCAAACACTGCTACGGTTAGCCTCAGATCTCCACAGTGTCCTCTGACTGAGGACCCACCCCATCTCACCTGTTCTCCCTCCGGCTGCTTTGAAGGCTGCTTTCAGGCTGCTTGCAGGCTTCTTTCAGGCTGCTTGCAGGCTTCTTTCAGGCTGCTTTCAGGCTTCTTTCAGGCTGCTTGCAGACTTCTTTCAGGCTTCTTTCAGACTTCTTTCCGGCTGCTTTCAGGCTTCTTTCAGGCTGTTTGCAGACTTCTTTCAGGCTGCTTGCAGGCTTCTTTCAGGCTGCTTGCAGGCTTCTTTCCGGCTGCTTTCAGGCTTCTTTCAGGCTGTTTGCAGACTTCTTTCAGGCTGCCTTCAGGCTTCTTTCAGGCTGCTTGCAGGCTTCTTTCAGGCTTCTTTCAGACTTCTTTCCGGCTGCTTTCAGGCTTCTTTCAGGCTGTTTGCAGACTTCTTTCAGGCTTCTTTCAGACTGCTTGCAGGCTTCTTTCAGGCTGCTTTCAGGCTGCTTTCAGGCTTCTTTCAGGCTGCTTGCAGACTTCTTTCAGGCTTCTTTCAGACTTCTTTCAGGCTGTTTGCAGACTTCTTTCAGGCTTCTTTCAGACTTCTTTCAGGCTTCTTTCAGACTTCTTTCAGGCTGCTTGCAGGCTTCTTTCAGGCTTCTTTCAGGCTGCTTCCTGCACAG